TTCTTCAATGTTCTAAAGGCCAACAAGAAGTTCGAGTGGACTCTCGAGTGTGAATAGGCGTTCCAAAGTATAAAAGAACACCTCGGGAAACCACCTCTCCTGTCCAAGCCTTTTTCGCAAGAGATCCTACTCCTGTATCTGTCCGTCTCTTAGTTCGCAGTCAGTGCAGCCCTAATTCAGGAAGAGGAAAATGTACAATGGCCAGTGTACTATGCGAGCAGTCTAACGGATGCCGAGATGTGGTATCCGAAAATGGAGCGATTAGCCTATGCCCTGCTGATCGCTTCCAGAAAGCTGTGACCCTACTTCCACACCCATACTATCCATGTGATGACTAATTACTCACTCAGGCAAGTCCTCCAAAAGCCAGAGGCATCGGGTAAATTGCTTTAATGGGCCATGGAATTGAGTCAGTTCAATCTGAAGTACAAGCCAAGATCGACTATCAAATGGCAGACAGTTGCTGACTTCATCTCTGAATTTTCCTATCTTCCAAGTGAATTAGAGCAACAGCCTAGCGAAGCCATCGAGAAAACTGCTCAGAATCTGTCGACCTGGAGTCTCTACGTCGACGGATCATCAAACAAAAAGAGGGCCGGTGTAGGTCTTCTCCTTTTGAGCCCCGAAGGGGCTCGCGTTCATGGCATTCTTCGGTTCGGATTCAAGGCAACCAACAATGAGGCCGAGTATGAAGCTCTGCTCGCTGGGTTGCGGTTGGCCAAAGAAATGGGTGCAATAAAGTGTAGACCACCGGCTACAGGTACTCCGGCAGGTTCCCCAGCGAGTCCAACATTGGAGTATCCTTCTTCGCGTCTTCAACAGTGGTCGTGTCGTCCATCGGTTCCTTACCTGACCTTCTTTCGACGTCCTTTTGCGACCTCTTGAGCTGCTCGGCCTAAGATTCGGTCTCCGACTCTTCGACCTAAATCTGCCTCCTCTTCTTTCGCTGAGCCATTGTCTTCATCCTCAGGCGAGCAGGCGACGGCTAGGAGACCTTCGTGGTTCGCATTGGATCGTCCTCTGACGGCTGTGGCTAAGAAGTTACAGAAGGTCGCGTCGGTTGGCCCAATGTTGCGCCTTCAATCGAGGGGATGGTCGGAGCAACATCGGTCGCCTTGGCTTTTTTCGACCGAGGAAAATTGAGCGGCCTTCGTCGCGGCTGCTCTGACTCCTTCGGAGGCATGGTTGCTGCATGCAAAGTATCGTTAGCAAAGGTATTCTACTTCATGACCAGAAAAGAATCAGTTAGCAGGACTTACTCAGTGGGGGCTCTAACGACGCGTTTGTGTTGAAGAAACCATATTTCCGTAAATTCGCTGTCGTCACGAGTTTCTTCGCGTCGTGCTTGTCCTCGGGTAGGGAGCCAAAGTGCACGATCCTACCTCTATCGAAGAGTAGCCCTAAGTCGGTCGTCTTGTTAACTATAAGAAAGGAATCAGGTTGTTAGACAGAGCACACTTCGAATGCAATGAGTTTATCAAAAAAAAAAAAAAAAAAAAAGAGAGAACGAGGCCTACTCGATTCCTGGAAGCGGTAATGGCCATCATATCGAAAGAAGAAAAATTTCGTTCCGTAGGCCCTTGCGTTGCTAGGATAACTATGTATCCCGTTGACGATAGTAGGTCGCCTGGACAAGTAATAAGAGTCCTTGTCCTTGCTCTTTCTCAAAAAATACGAGCAGCCAAGCTCCATCGCGGTCAGCTCGCCTATCTTGTTCTCCTGGCACGCGATGTACATTGCAACGGCAATGACATACACGTTTGAAGTCAGCTGCATCGGCGCGACCCCGAAGTGGTCCAAAAACGACCTGATAAAAGGGTGGAAGGGGATCAGTCCCCCACCCTTGATGATCTCCTCGGAAATCGCAGTCAGGCCACTTGACGGGTATCGCGATGAGTGTGCCACGTCGAGGAAAGCGTCCACCTCAATACCATACTGTTTTATTACCCTCTCAAGCTCGTCCCCGGTAAGTACCGAGAAGACATCGAGAGGGATACTCGGAGCACCTTACGGGGACGAGCCGATTCACTGCTCGGATCTAGTTGTTGAGGGGTCCATTTTGCTAGTCTACAAGAGCGACAAGCAGAAGGGTCATTTAGCCGCTGTATGCTATTTCGTACGATGACGTGGGAGGAAATAAACTCCCTAAATCCCAAAGAAAACCCTAACAGCACGATTCAAGCCACCATTCATGGCTCAAACCCGACGTAAGCGTCTCGTCTCCGATGGGTTACCGGAAGACTGACGCCATATAACCATGAAAATAATGAAACAACGATAGAGAAGTTCTTACCTCTTGGAGTATGAGAACAGCTTCTACCTCAAATGCCGGAAAAATGCAAGTTTGGAAGACAAAGGTTCCAAGCTTGCGAAAATCTTTTGCTCTCTGTGAAAAAGGCTCTAGTAACATTGCCTGAGAACAATTTGAGGTTTTCATAGCGTGTGAATCGGCGTTTGAATTTCCCGGAATCGAAACAACGTTTGGGCGGCAAAGATTTCTTACCATTGATCACAGGCCACGTGTCGCTCATCAGCGGGGAAGAGTGAGCGAAACGATTGGATAAAGTCGAACTTTCATCTTTCCCGTTAAACAGCTCAAACGACGGCCATATCTCTCTCTGAGCATTAATTGCGTCTCAAATCCACATTTAATGCTCTGATAAGCGGCGTCGTTCCAACATATAACGCATTTAATGTTCTGATAAAGCACACTGTGTCAGCATACAACGCATTTAATGCGTTTTGCTGGCACTTATCACGTACAGGACACATCTGTTAGTGCAGGGACTGCTTCATTGAATGCACCCATATCAAAAGAACAACAGGTGGCGTCTGACGAAATCAGGTTGCTCGTCCCCTGCAAACAATGAACATGCGAGGTCGTGTTCACAAAAGTGTCATCCCAACCTACTCTCAAACAGGCTAGAATTTTCAGAATTTTCAGGAATCATCCCGCTGCGGCACAACTTGTAGTTTCCAAGGTTCTATCCTCGAACCTTAAAAACTAGGGGACTTCTGTTATGCCTAAAAAAATAAGGGCTGACGTAAGAACCAGCCAGCCTACAAGAGTCGGATCATGGGTGCAGCCACAGCCTGCTTTCATCATAATAGTGGGTGTGCGTCAGGCCAGCCAGAAGCTGTGGTGATCCCACGTGTTCAATCCCTGCTTTAAATCGCGCAAATCACTCTGGAAGGTGGACAATGTGACATAAAGAAGGATTTGCACTGATAATCCCACCAACTTACAGATTTAGTGATCATTGCCTCAATGCATCCCACTATAAATTGGGAGCTCCTCTCTCATTAAAGGGGATTCGCACATTTTATCACACTTGATTAACTACTCTCTCTTTCCCTAGAATTATTAGCGTTTGATACCTTGTAATGTCATTGTAAAGTCAGCCAGCTAAAAGCGACCTGACCCTTATCATCAATATAAGCATCAGTGGATGTATGATTTGCTACCTTAGCATCCGAACCACTTTAAAAACTGTCCCCATTGCATTTACTATCCTTTTCCTTTTTATTCACATGTGTCCTTTGAGCCTGTTCAACATTTCACACGTACGTTACGTTGGTGTAAAAATCACGCATTAACAAATATCAAATTTATATATATTTTAACTAATTCTCGTATTAGTGTAACAATCCACTATAGATCCTTATTTGTGTTTCATTCACGTACATCATCGTAATTCAATTCCAAACTCAGAGTTTAATAAATCAAACTCATTAGGTATGGAAAATTTAGGTTTAGTTATGTGGTACATATCGTTATTGACTTAGATTGTTTTGACTAGGGCGTTTAATTAACTTAAGGACGTGGTTTTTGAATATTAAAGCTTCTTCCCGTAACTGTAAAACTAAGTCCCTTTGACCAAGTTTTAAGTACAGTAATAAGAAGAGTCAGACTTCGCCAATCAAATTCAACCATTTGAGGTTATCTTTCTAACCAGAAAAATACAGATTGAAAACTTCATGATTCATGACAAAAACTGCATGTCTATGACCAGAGTTGTGTTATCCAAATTTTTTCCCGGCCGGCTAATTAAGATGGCCCTCCAAATTTCAGATAATATTTAATTTATTAAATTACTTATCATCCTTTACTTCTACGTTTAATTGAAATTTATAAATTGATGTGACATGAAACAATTGAAATTTTAAAGAGTGAAACTACAAAATTAATTAAGATATCTAATTTAAGAATTATATTACATTAATATACATAAACTTGTAAAAGGAAATTGTATTTATAGTATTAATTAGTTATATATATTACTCGATGAAGACTTGGTTGCGTGAGGCACGACATGACACAAGTACTAAATAAAGAAGCATTGTCAAATTATTTAACGGATAGGTATGCCTATTGGGCGGGGTTATTTGACTGGCTTGCCTTTGAATTTATTTATTTATTTTTTTGGGTTAATTAGAGTGTCTGAACCAACTTACATACAACTCGATTAATTCTCATGGGAACCATCATGACCCCCAAGGACAATAATGGGCAAAAGTGTTGAAATCATGCAGCCCCCTCGGTTCGTCCTTACTACTAACCCATGGGTGGATGGCTTGCTTTAATTTTCTGTTTTTAAACTATAATATTCAATTAGCTACCATTAATTAACTCCATTTCTCTTCATAATCTAGACTTGATATATGATTTTGGATAACATTTTACATTTATAAGAGACTAATCACATTGTTGGCATCATAATGTAACAGTTTCACTTAAGCGTTTTAATTTAGTATGAATTTCCACCTGTGTTACGATATTTGTATACAAAACCGATAAAAAGAATTGAGATTTTACATGAATTTATCAATTATCACATCCTATGGAAAAGTCAAATTTTTTTCTCATTAGAAAAAGTTTAATTACGATAATTTGCCCAAAAGCTATGCGTAGCGTAATGTCACCTTTATTATCCATTACCTGTGCTGCTCAAAAAATTAAAATATATTTTGAAAAAACTCATTATTTTTTTACCCTTAACAAGGCTAATAGTCTATGGAAAATCCATTTCACACTTTTAACCTAAATTCAAATTTGAACAATTATTTTCACACAAATTACATGGTTCAACAAAATATGCAAGACTGCTAGTTTCTGACAGCAGTTTACAATGTGTAAGTTGATGACATAACCTAAGCATTTAGCCAAGGAAACATATTGGGCGATGAAGGCAATCTTGCCGTCAGAACTTCAACACCAGTTTCGGTAACCTGCAAAAATATTTTCATTAAAGATAAAACTAAATATAGTGACTTTACCAAAACCACTGAGCAATTTAGTGACATATTATACCGATTCATAAATAATTAAATTATCAATGACATTGCCGTACAAAACCGAAACCCGGGTCAAAGGTCAAATTGTCATCGGTTTTCCTATACACTTTGCTCAACCTCAACTGCCCAACATAATTGCCTTACAAGAAACAGTGCTGAACCATGCATATAGAAAAGTCATCCAATAAAGTACAGTGAATATGAGAAATTACCAGAAGCGTGTGCTCAAACTGAGCACTTCGTTTACCATCAGCAGTCACAGCTGTCCAACCATCAGGCCACATCCGATCACGCCAAACTCCTATCAATAAAATAGAGTAAAATATGTAGCAAGCATATTAATGGTTGTTTACCAAGATAAACAAGTCATATATGTACCTGCATTAATCATCGGTTCAATTGTAAAGGTCTGTCCAGCTTTCATCACACCTACAGCTTTATTTCCTGCTCGGGTCAAGAAAAACATAATTCACTGAGAAAATAATATGAGCATTTTGACCCAATTAAGAAATGAATTGGTTGTTATGCTTTATGTCACATTCCACGGAACAAAGGATTGTCATGTAGAAAATATAAAATTGTAAAGCAAGGTTAAATACTTGAATAATGGGGGATATTTGGTGCACAATGGAACAGCTCTCCAATACCATGACCACAATATGACTTTACCTGGTTTAGCAAAAAAGAAAAGAGTTGTTTATCAGTGTTGATAACAATGGCAATGACTTACAATTGTGAACTCAAAGTTAAATCACTACCACAGAGAATCCTGACATCAAAGCATGGCGATTAATGACTTCACCGATTTCACGATACCTCACCCCAGGTTTCACTGAAAGAATTGACATATAATGGCCATTAGAGTTCATTAAAAAGATCTCTCATACAGAAAAGAAAAAACAAAAGTGTGGCATGCTTGGCAATTTCAAGAATAACTGATTATATAATAGAAGTTAACAAGTGCACTGAGAAAACCATCAGAAATCATTCTACGAGCCACAGAATTACTCTTTCTTACAGTTGATTCCACATTTTCCCTAGAACAACTTTGAATGAGCCCAAGACATACCGATAGATATTGCTTTCTCCAAGCACTCATATGTACATTGGACCAATTGACGAGACAGTTCATCAACATTTCCCACAAAGTATGTTTCATTCAGATCACCTGCATTATGTGAAAACTAGCAGTCAATCATGAAGCTTCTAGGTAGCACTTGAATTTATTTTATAAAAAGGTTTTAGAATTCTTACCATGAACACCTTTATAGTACACAGTCACATCAATATTCACAATATCGCCATCCTCTAATTTCCTGGAGAATTAAAACAAGTTGGGCTTCATTCAGGTTTTTCTCAGACATCAAACAACAGCATATGAATATTTGAAAGTAAGAATATAAACAATAGCATGGAAATCAGGAAACTATAATGCAAAGTTCTGTAAAAGGGAAATGCCCATACAACCTTGGATAACTTCTTACCACACTCCCAAACAACACTATCCTCAGAAAGAAGTGTTATGCCCACCAAAAAGTAATAAAATGCAATTTAACCGGTATAGCGTCATCAAAAAATAAAAAAATCTAATATACTAGAAAATCTATTTATAAAAAATTCTAAAAAACAGAAAACCTTTTAGTTATTGTTTAAAAGTTGGGTTTGAAAGAGACATAAAATGTTAGTGTTTCAGAAGGGTTGAGAGTCAACGATGCCAGAAATCAGCACAAAAAGATAAAGAGAAAGATAAAATAGTGTTACATGGTCAAAAATACACTTACCTGGCATCAGGAATTCCATGACAGATTACTTCATTAACTGACCTGCAACAGAAAGACAAATAATCTCAGTTAATTAATATGCACAACACCAAGGAAGCTTAAGCAAACATACACAAAAGAAGTACCTACGTGCAGCAAGACTTTGGAAAGAAATGATAATTGAGAGGAGATGGATAACCCCCTGCAGTAGTAAAAACCCATAAATGAATTAGCTATTCCAATTATCAGTCTTACTGGCCAATACAGCTCCATAAGAGACTGTCTTACTGCCATCAAGCAGATAAACACATTTTCTCCATAAGGTCCTAGAGTACTGCATCCCACCCCTCTCCCTCCCAAGGGCCAAAACTTTAGTAGGTGTCAAGGCACTAAAAGAAGTTTACAAGTATGCCCATACATAATACTACCCCACTTGCAAATCATGCAAATTTTAAATGAGATATAAGAAAATAGCATTATAAAGTATGAACCAGCAGCAATAGTTGTCTCATGAACCACTCTATCAATTTCATCTGTTGTTACACCTGGACGAATCACTTGAGCCGCTGCATCCAAAACCTCCCTTGCAATCTGACAGAAAGATTGTAAAATAAATAGGTTTAAGATCATAAATCAGTGACTATCTTGTTTGTTATATTAAAGAATTGAAACACCCATCACATAACACAGTAATTGACACATACATGGGTACCTAATTTTCCCAAAAAATATTAAAAATATTTTACCAGTATAAACCCTCTAGAAGGCATTACCTAATCAATTAAGCACAGATATATCTCTTTGGGCTCTTATTAACCTTCCTAAAAGAAAATTCCGCATACAAATTGAAAGTACTTACAGAAAAAGTTAAAAATATTTTTCCTCCTTTACTTTGTAGCCATCAGTTCATTCTCATGTTTGTCAATAACTAACATGTTCTTTCCAGCATATATAGACAACATATTAGTGCAGCAAAGACCAAGGGTTGAATGAAGTGATTAAAAGTGACAATCACCAGATGCAGGATTCCATAATTTTTCTTTGCTAAGTCAGTTTCTCAACATGCACCATCTTTAAACATATAATACAACTTGTCCATTCTACTCTGAAATAGCAAGAATCACCAGTATAAAGAATTGAACCAATTATCTTATGCTAAAAGTATCATAGTACACTTGTTTTCCTGCATACAAGTTTTAAGTAAAAAAAAAATCTTCTTTCTCCTTCATTTACAGATATTCAAATAAGAACTCAAATGAGATTTCTTATGCATGTGTAAACTCATGAAATAACAGAGCCACTACATATAGAAATAACATTCATGAACTACATCACAAAAACAACTAATTGCCATCAGATTATACAGAAAAAGACACCAGTATGAATACACATAAGCACCAATTTATTGATTCTGTAAGCCATAGAGCAGGTCCATAAATAAATACATCCAAATTAGAGAAATAATACAAGGATAAATATTGATAGAGCAGATAAATTTTATTTTTTTAATGAAATAAAAAGATTAAGAAGTGAATTTACTCGACATGTTTCTCGCATTCTCTCAATTTGGTCCTGACTTTTAACCTTCACAAAAAGACATCAATTAGAAGAAAAAAAGAGGGAACATGATTTCCATTTCAATTACACATCTGTCTGTACCTAAAATATGACGAAGATACTAGTACAAACTTACCTCGACAACATGCTGCAGATCACTATTGGGCTCAATTTTTGGTATTCCCTAGAACAATAAATTGGATCAGTTATTCTAGAAACCACAAAAAGTCAAAAAGAAAAAAAGAAATTCATGTTCAGTAAGTGCATATATTCTGATTCCGGGACAGTAAACCCATCAATCAAGGAGGCCAAGTCTCAGAAAACTTTCCTCTCAAATTGTGGTAAAATAAACAAAATCAGTACTTAAGAAGTTGAACAGAAATGATTCAAAGAACTCACATCCACAGCCCAATCAGGTAGATCAATGTGAGAGGGTACAGAACGCATGCTAGATATGGGATATGGTCTCAGTGCTCTGTAGAATAAAAGTAAACAATTATGGTTTCAGAAGTTTATTAAAAATGGAAATATATAATTCAAAGAACATCTAGGAAATGCTGGAATATAGAGTAGTTATTGTTAAGAGAAAAAAGATAAATAAATAAAAACTCTCAAGGAAATAAACAACCAAGTCAATCAAAATATCTAGGTAATTGGAGAAAATTTAGCATCATTTATCAAAATTTTGTTAAATGTAAAAGACTATTTTAATCAAATATCAACAGTAGAAGTATATCATAGATTTTGAAGTTAGTAAATAGAAACGGTTTTCATCAGAAAGCTTTATAAGATGAAGAGGTACCATGTAGCTGTCATATCACAACATCTTGTTGAACAAGAGTAACACATAAGGACAGTCAGACGTAATTGCCTGACCTGAACAAACACAAAGAAATATAAGTAGCATATTATTGCAAACTAAATCCTTAAAAAATACCCTGTCCAATCAAAATGGGGAAGTTTCGGAGTTCGACCCTGTCCTTTCTTCAAGCAATATAACCAACCTTCATTCGCTCCGTCTGATCCACCTGGAGTACCTGTCCCAAGTAGCTTTGCCTTCAAATGAACTGATTTGTGAGAGCTCCAAGAAGCTTTGAAACAATCTTGTGTACTATCAAGAATTATAATAATAACTTTATCAATACCAAAAAAATATATATATAAAAAATCCGATTACATAACTTGAAATTTCAACTAAACTATTCAAAATGCAATTCTACGGATATCTCTAATTTTAGGATTTCATTTAGAAAAATATCGCAATAAAAGGAATTACTAACCAGAACGCCGCGCCTTCACGAGGAAGCTTTAGCTCCATACACTTGGGACACCTAAAAATAATAAAAAAAATAAGTAGCAATTTTGTTCAAAATGTTAATAGTTAAAGAATTTTCAACTTGCCACATTGAAGATAAATTTCAAGTAGGTGATGAAATACATACTGAAGATGAGCAGGCTTGCCACATCGAACACACGATAAGCTATTATTCTCCACCGCATCTGAGCCACCGGCCATCGTGTCCTAGTCTCCTAGACTTTCCCTTTCTGTTTAGTTTTATTCGTTTGAGAAAGAGTAAAAGTGAGAGGTTTTAGGGTTCAGAGAAGGGAAAGATGGCGAACACGGAGGTATCTAAAGCTAATTTGTTTGTTTGAGTTTTTCCGTTAATATATTTATGATATTAACTTATTAAGTCAGCATTTGCTACGTGTATACTTTTTACTGGACCACTAATTTTACTTTTCTTTTTCAATTAATGCTGGATTGCGCAGCAAGTTACAAGTGAATTACTAGGTAGAAATATATATTGACACATGGGCACTTCGTTAACTCTCAAAGACCCGCCGTCCCAAGAGGTCGTTCAAGGGGGAGGGGCCAGCCCCTCGCCCTAAGTGGATTTGAGCAGAACTTATTTCTTAAAGTTAATTCGAAGAATTAAAGAGTTTAATTATATATATCACGACAGTCAACTAAATAATATAGGATAAATACAATTTTTAAGGAATTCCGTAAAAATTTCTTATGCTTGTATTAAAATAAACTGCAAAGTTTTATTCTTATTTTTAATCATAATGCAATTAAACCATTCCATTACCATCAGATAATTAACTAGAAAACTTATGGATTTAGTGGCAACTCAGAAATAGAACCATTATTACATAACATATATATGTAGTATGATACAAAGTAGTGGTGAAGAAGCCCTTTTTATATTTCAGGCCAAAACGGCACACCTGTGGCAGGGATCCATGAGTCCCCCTGAATGAACCTTCTCACCGAAAAAGGGCTAGCTTGCTGGGGACTATTAAGCACATGAAAACCGGGCCAATTCACCCTATTTTCAGTCAAGGCACCAGCCCCTGTATTTAAATACTCTGCATAATACAGTGTGGAAAGAGCAAAACTCCCATCCCATTCTGTCCAACCCTTTGGATGAATAATTCCACCAAGGTCCGTCTTTATGAAAGTTGTCCTGGAGTATTTTTTCCATGGCCTGCCTAAGTAATTCGTGAACAAATGTTGAAGGGCAATAAATTCATGAGATGGCCTAACACGCGATCCTTGAATTGAAATTCCTGTGTTTTCATTGGGATCGTCTCTTCCTTGTGCTGTTATCATAGTTGATTGGTGATCAATTGGTCTTTCTTATAAAGATGTCGCAGTTTTGAAACACTGCTATGGCATCACTAAATATGAAATCAATGGTACCATGTATTTGACAATCACGATAAATTTGTCTTAAAGAGAGCACATAGAGTGTATCTTGGTGACCTATAAAACTGCAACGATAAAAAACTGAGAGGTCTGAGCTGACTCGTAGAGCCACTGCTTGGTGTTTATGGGGACCAGCCATGTTCTGAAATGTCATGTCCCTTGCCCAAAACCCATCCCCTGATACACCTGCCCATGAACACGACCCAGTTAATAAAATCGAACTGCATAAACTTGAATGGATTTTCGCTAAATCAATGTATTCTTACCAAATGTGGCTGAGGTTGAGGTGGTAGAACCATCTGGGACATTTCGGCTGCCAGTAACAATGGTTCTACCAATGCCATCGCCAACAAACATTATGTTCTTCATGTGATGTTTGATATCCACCTTTTCATTATACACTCCGGATTTTACGTGGATTATTACTCTTTGGGGTCGCCTGTTACCCATTCTGCCGAGTGCAGCCAATGCTTCATTAATTGTTGTGTGTGTGCCAGAGCCATCTTGTGCAACAACAAAGTCTGCCTTGGAAGTTGCTGGACTCCATGATGCTAAAATTCCACCATTTTGATTGAATCTTGCTTTACCTGGGCCTGGTGGTCCTGAAAAATCTGCAAGTCATTAAGAAATTAAAGCTTTTGCTTTGTAGTCTACTTAATAGTTTCGATATTATTTACACTTGTACCAGAATAGAACAGTTCAGGAGACAATTTAATTTTAACTTGCAAAGTTCGACCGTTTTCACTCCATACTTAAGTTTAACTGGAGTCTAGGGTTTTGTGAGCTTATGAAAATTAGCTTATAAGCAATTGTTGCTTATAAACTAAAATTAGCTTATAAGCATTTGAAATTTTAAGCAATTACGTGTTTGGTAAAATATGGCTTATAAATACATTTTATTATAAAATGACTAAAAAAGGTACTACATTAAATAAGTGTATACTATAAAATTTTAAAATTAAATAAGGATAATGTGGTAATATAGAGGTTGTTTGTCTGAGCTTATGAAAATTAGCTTATAAGCAACAAGTACTTATAAGCTAATTTTAGGTTATAAGCATTTGAAATTTTAAGCAATTACGTGTTTGGTTAAATTACTTATAAGTGACTGATAAGTAGTTGACATGTTTGGTAAAATGTGGCTTATAAGTATATTTTATTATAAAATGACTAAAAAGGGTATTACATTAAACAAGGGTATACTATAGAATTTTAAAATTAAACAAGGGTAATGTGGTAATATACTTGGTCAAACTAGCTTATAAGTAGAGTGCTTATAAGCAAAAAAAAAAAAAAAGTACCTCCCCCTCAACTTATTTTTTTTGGCTTATAAGCTCAACTTATAAGTTCAAAAAAATTATAAACAAACAGGTCAGCTTAATTTTAGAACTTATAAGCAAGTTTGACCAGCTTAATTTTAGAACTTATAAGCAAGTTTGACCAGCTTATAAGCTTTAAAATTAAGTTGACTTGTTTGTTTATAATTTTTTTGAGCTAATAAGTTGAGCTTATAAGCTTAAATAAATAAATTGGGGGGGAGGTACTTTTTTTTTTTGGCTTATATGCACTTTGCTTATAAGCTAGTTTGACCAAGTATATTACCACATTATCCTTATTTAATTTTAAAATTTCATAGTATGCCCTTATTTAATGTAGTACCTTTTTTAGTAATTTTATAATAAAATGTACTTATAAGTCACATTTTACCAAACACGTCAATTACTTATCAATCACTTATAAGTACTTTAACCAAACACGTAATTGCTTAAAATTTCAAATGCTTATAAGTTAATTTTAGCTTATAAGCAATTGTTACTTATAAGCTAATTTTCATAAGCTCAGACAAACACTCCCTTGGTCAAACTAACTTATAAGTAAAGTGCTTATAAGTAAAAAAAAAAAAAAAAAGTACCTCCCCCCCAACTTTTTTTTTTTTGGCTTATAAGCTCAACTTATAAGTTCAAAAAAGTTATAAACAAACATGTCAGTTTAATTTTAGAGCTTATAAGCTAGTTTGACCAGCTTATAAGCTTAGACAAACACCCCCTAAAACACATAGAAATATTTACACAGAAGGAAATCAGAGCTTAAAATTTTTGTAGGCAAATAATTGTTGGGACCAAGTCAGCTTCTTACCCCTTCTAACCTTCTTCCTATACAGTTGCAAGGCTTCATTGAGAAACATAGTCAAATTATGAGTCTCTGTTACAAAATCATTGCTATCATTCTCCTATGTTTTCTCCCCTTGTATATTTTATTTCCTCTTTTGTATATTTCTTGGCTGTACATGATAAATTAGGATACTTATAATATTTCCTTCCTGTAATTAGTCATTCCAATTCCTAAACTTTAGGAACAAGTCTGTATCTTGTAACTATTTAATCCCATTGTTGGAAGAGAATAATATAGAAGTTTTAATTTCCTTTCATTCAACTCTTGCTCTCTGCTGTACCAGTATTCTTTACATGGTATCAGAGCAGGTTCATACCATCTATACGTATCATTACAACTTGAATCTTCATCTATTCTTTGTACCATGACTGACAACAAACCTGAATCACCTACACCAATCATACATGTGCAATCCGAAAATGCTGGCTTCAAGCCTGGTATCAGTCTTAATGAAACGAACTATGATGTATGGTCCCAAATCATGGAGATGCATATTGCAGGGCGTGAAAAGCTGGAGTATATTATGAGAAAAACACCTCAACCAACGGAGACTGATGCTTCCTATGCAAAGTGGTATGCAGAAAATCAAAAGGTTAAGGGCTGGTTATTGACATCCATGTCACCTGAAATTATGAAGCGGTATCTCAGGTTATGTACCGCACGAGAAATCTGGAAAGCCCTGGCCAAGGCTTTCTATGATGGGTCAGTCAAAGCACAAATCTTTGCATTAAGCCAACGAGCTTTCTCCACTAAACAGGTTGGTCGTTCTCTATCAACTTATTATGGTGATCTTGTAGAGATTTTTCAAGAGCTAGATTATCGTGATAAGGTTGTAATGAAAGATCTAGATGATGTTATTGCATATAAAAAATCAGTTGAACGCTTGAGAGTGCACATCTTTCTTAATGGACTGGATGCAGAATTTGAACAACTCAGAGGAGAGATTCTCAGAAAGGATCCAGCACTGGATCTTGAAGAAACATATGCGTATGTACGTCGTGATGTTATCCGCAGAATGACATTAAATGGAGAAATTGATCATCATGAATCATCTGCTATGATAGCTCGTCGGAACAAACCTCAACAAGGGCGTACAAATCAACAAAACTTTGGACATTCAAAATAGTTTGTTGATCAAAACCAATCATCTGAATCGCAAAATCGCAGCTATGAAATAGGAACTTCAAAATCAGAACGCATGTGTGCTCATTGTGGTGGAACTAGACATACCAAGTCAAGGTGCTATGAACTGATTGGCTATCCAGATTGGTGGGATCCTACTAAAGCACCCAAACAGAATTAAAAAACAAAGCCTCATGCTTCTGCTGCTGTGGCCGAACCTTCTAGCAACCTTGAAGAATCTTTATCATTAATCGCTACTTCAGGTAATAGTGGTAAGGTTCTTAATGTCTCCACACTTAATAGTAATAGTACTTGGATAATTGATTCTGGAGCTACGGATCACATGACTTTTGACACTAATCATGTTCAGTCTATGAAATCATCCAAACAATCTAAAGTGTCCACAACCAATGGTACTCCTTCTCATGTGATTGGAGAAGGTTCAATTACTCTTACCGAAAATTTAAACTTGGATTCAGTTTTGGTTGTTCCCTCTCTTAACTATAACTTATTGTCTGTTGCTCAAATAA